TGGCCAACCCCTGAAAGAAAAAGCAGTTATAATCAGAAATCCGATCGATGTAAGTTCCTGTTTCTTATTATTTCCTCGTGTTTTACCCCATTTTGTTTGTTTCATTTTCACAGGATCTGCAAGTGCTTAAAGAGGAAATTCAGGAAAGTTATCCATCCGCTGATGAAGATTCCAGCCATGTAAACAAACCAGTTAACGAAATTGATTATTCGAGTGAGTTCGTTCTACTAGCAACTTCGAGTTAAGCAACCGGAAAGCAGACGACAATCACGGACGCAGCTGTATTTAAGTTTGAAATTACCACTAAACAGTCAAATTTGGTAGCGGAAAGTGCAGAAATTATTTACTGAAAGTTCTACAGAAAAGCTCGAGAAAAGAGGATTATTTTCACTCCGAAGCACTATCAGATCAGTGAGCCTATATCGAATAAAAAGCTTTCTCCAGCTGTACGTATCGTCGAGGTTTTAGAGTCAGAAGTAGCAGAGCATTTTCCTGTGCACAGACACGTGGAACAAAACAACGTTATTTTATCATACATTTGACAAAGTTCTAAAAATCTACTCCTTTACTTCTTCTAGGAAAGAGAAGAATATTCGACATCAGCGAACAGGGAATCACCTCCTTTTCTATTGCCAAACCATCTCCGAGCTCTTTTGGTAAAAACAAATTATTAAAAATAGAAGAGTTTGAGAAACATAGAGAAACAGTATACGCAATGTGCAGAAATTTGGAAAAAGGAGCATATGATGATCATTTATTAGCTTATGAAGCCGTAGAAAGATGTGATTCAATGTGTATTATTGATATTAATACAGTGATTGGATCTCCATTTTCTATTTATGAAGTGAAAACCATTATTATTTCATGATTAATAATGATTTTAACTAGATGTAGAGAATATTATTAAGTTCAGTATTATAAATAAACCTATTATAATCAATTATATTTCAATAAAAGAACATTTAAGCCGTAGCAAATGATTGAATATTTTCCAGCAAGAACTCATAAGTTGATCGAGTTTTGCCCATCGTTAAAATAAATGACGGTTGGATAGATTTCGATCTATTTATGAGCTTCTTGTGATAATTAAATTTCTATTAAAAAAAAATCATACGGCATACATCAGAATATTATAGCAAGTTAAAAATGATATTCATAACAACGCATTCTGATTTACACAAGTAAATACGTATGTTATTCATAACATATGGATATGATTTTCCTAAGACAACTTATGAAAATCTTAAGTGGTATGATGAACAAATTCCCCTCTGAAATCATAAGATAAACTTATGATTTCCATAACAGATCCTTTTGTCGTAAAGTCATAAGTGATTCTTATTGAATTCTTAAGTACTTTTGCCTCAGTGTAGAATTTCGACTAGAATGGGATACGTTAATCGTTTGCTTAGGACCAATAGGCTAGTCAAGTAGTGAGTCAAGTTAAAATCGTTAGTTTCGTATTGATTGTTGTTATAACTCTGTAGTCTGAACGTACTATTAGAGTTACCTCTATGGTTATAACATGTTATAGCGCTATCTTGATGGTGGTTTCTGTGTTATAATTATTTGACAACCGTTATAACATGTTATAACTGCTCAGTCTGGCCAGCGTTTTAGATCATGCGACACTGTAACTACTACTATGTTATAGTACGTTCAGACTACAGAGTTATAACATGTTATAGCGCTATCTTGATGGTGGTTTCTGTGTTGCAATTATTTGACAACCGTTATAACATGTTATAACCACAAACGAAGTGACAGACGGAGCGGCTCAAAATTTGATTTGACGCACTTACGTTTGAAATTTTCGAGTGTACCTTACGGCAACACTATCTACTCATATGTACTAGCTTAAAGTATATAGTTGATGCTATTGGCTTTGACGGCGAATCTATAGCTCTTTACTCCTATGGTAAAATCCGTAAGCAAACGTCAGACTGTGCGTGAAATTTACTTTCAAAAACGAAGAGGTTCGCAAGTGGTGCTGGTGCTGAAGAGTTGAACTGCTGTTGGATGATCAGATTGATTTCGTCCAGGCACTCCGACTGGATGGAACTAAAGAAAAGGACCGGAAAGCACCGGTATCTGAGGCGGAAAGGAAGAAGATGGACATTGAGGAAACGAAGAAATCACTTCCAGTTTTTCCATTCAAGGAGGATCTCATAGCCGCTATAAAAGAACACCAGATTCTTATTATCGAAGGAGAAACGGGTTCGGGAAAAACGACACAGATTCCACAGTATCTCTATGAAGCTGGGTTTACAAACGACGGCAAGAAGATTGGATGTACTCAGCCTCGTCGCGTGGCAGCGATGTCTGTGGCGGCACGTGTTGCACAGGAAATGGGCGTCAAGTTGGGCAACGAAGTTGGTTATAGTATTCGTTTCGAGGATTGCACATCCGAGCGGACTGTCATTAAATACATGACAGATGGTACGTTGCACAGGGAGTTTCTTTCGGAACCGGACCTAGCTTCGTATAGTGTGATGATTATCGATGAAGCTCACGAGCGTACGTTGCACACGGACATTCTGTTTGGATTGGTGAAGGACATTGCGCGGTTTCGGTTGGATTTGAAACTACTGATTTCCAGTGCCACGTTGGATGCGGAAAAGTTTTCGGATTTCTTCGATGATGCGAACATATTCCGTATTCCTGGTCGTCGTTTTCCGGTACATAGTTAGATTTGACTTGCTTTGTGTTTTGCTGTAAAATCTAACTTTTTCTCTTCTAGGTTGATGTCTTCTACACCAAAGCACCGGAAGCAGATTATATCGATGCATGTGTGGTGTCGGTTCTACAGATTCATGCCACTCAGCCTCTTGGAGACATTCTTGTATTTTTAACTGGTAAGTGGGTCTATTTCTATGCGATGTTAAAAAATTACATTTTTTTTTTCGTTCCAGGACAAGAGGAAATCGAAGCCTGCCAGGAGATGCTCCAGGATCGCGTCAAGCGGTTGGGTTCCAAACTCAAGGAACTACTCATCCTTCCCATTTATGCCAATCTGCCGTCGGACATGCAGGCGAAAATTTTCGATCCAACTCCACCGAACGCCCGGAAAGTCGTACTGGCCACCAACATCGCCGAGACATCACTAACCATCGATAACATAATGTACGTGATCGATCCGGGCTTTGCAAAGCAAAATAATTTTAACTCCAGAACCGGGATGGAGACCCTGATGGTCGTGCCCATTTCGAAAACGTCTGCCAATCAACGTGCAGGTCGAGCAGGGCGCGTTGCCCCTGGCAAGTGCTTTCGTCTGTACACAGCCTGGGCATACAAACACGAGCTGGAAGACAACACCGTCCCGGAAATTCAGCGCATAAACCTGGGCAATGCCGTGCTAATGCTTTGCTTTATTTCGATTTCCTCGATCCTCCACCACATGAAACGTTGGTTTTGGCATTGGAGCAACTTTACGCCCTAGGGGCATTGAATCACCACGGTGAACTGACCAAACTTGGACGACGGATGGCGGAATTTCCGGTCGATCCCATGATGACAAAAATGCTGCTTGCTAGTGAAAAGTACAAATGTTCCGAGGAGGTGGTGGCCATCGCTGCAATGCTATCGGTGAATGGAGCCATCTTCTACCGACCGAAAGATAAAATCATCCACGCAGATACGGCTCGGAAGAACTTCAACCACATGCACGGGGACCACTTGAGTTTGCTGCAGGTCTACAACCAATGGGCCGAATCGGACTACAGCACTCAGTGGTGTTACGAAAATTTTATTCAGTTCCGTTCGATGAAACGAGCTCGCGATGTCCGGGAGCAGCTGGTTGGGTTAATGCAGCGAGTCGAAATCGAAATGGTTTCCAGTCTGCCGGAAACGACCAACATCCGGAAGGCTATTACAGCCGGGTACTTTTATCACGTCGCTCGGTTCTCCAAGGGGAGGTCACTACAAAACGGCCAAGCACAATCAGACGGTGATGATCCATCCGAATTCGGCACTGTTCGAAGAACTACCTCGTTGGGTGCTGTACCACGAGCTGGTGTTTACGACGAAGGAGTACATGCGGTCGGTGATTGAAATCGAAAGCAAGTGGCTGCTGGAGGCGGCACCGCATTACTACAAACCGAAGGAGCTCGAGGATTCCACCAATAAAAAGATGCCGAAAACGATCGGTCGGGCCACGCTGACCGAGGCGTAGGTTGTGATGAGACGGTTTGGGGTAATTCAAGAGCATTTTTCGCACTATGTATTCAACGGGAATTGTTGTTATTTGCGATGACATTATCCTACCTAGGGTGTCGGGTGTAAATTAGTGATCTTTAGGGACAAATAGGTGAAATATAAGGTTGCTGCAACCATGCTATATTGTATGTCAGTAGAGAGCTTCATAAGGCTAGCCCGTCTAATCCCAGTCGCGCTCCTTTCCGTTTCTTCAGGTCCGGTTAGGTGGATTAGGTATTCTCTGGCACGCCGAAGCCAACTGCAGGGCTGTTACAAGTGTCGCAAATTTTGTGCGGTTTTATAGCTTTTGAAGTGCGGATTTTGCGGAAAGCTTATCGACATTGAACACATTTTTTTAAATGATATTTTAGCTTGCCCAACCAACTATTAATAACTTTACTGCTTTACTTCTTTATTAAATAATAGAAGGTCTTTCTAAACGTAGATTTTCCTGGAGTCTTCAAATAATTAGAATCGAAACTTAGTTGAATTAACCCTAAGTGGAACTAATCCGCGCCAAAGCAAATCTGAGATGGCAGTCCACGAATACCTCAGATTTGCGAATTTAGCGTAGTCGTAACAACGCCGTCCTTGACGGGAACTAACAAAGTTTATACTATTTCAAACAATCGCTGATAGGAAGTTTTTTCGCCAAGTGAATGATGAAATACTCACAATGATTTCACTGTCTAAGATTTATTGCTGTCTCTAATAGCATATGTAGCAAAGCTATACATTATTTTTCTCTCGTCTCAATACCTACTTACTACCAAAAGTGGATGTGTTAATAACACAATCAATGATTAACAATTAAAAAAAAAAACCCTCACTGAATTCAACCATACACAGCAGAACATACAAAATCAAATCTCTCTTTAAAATATGCCCCGACCCGTCCGCTCTAATGCTGCGACCACTGGATCGACTTGATGTCGATACCTTCCTGGACCATCTCCCACAGCGGGGACATCTCTCGGAGTCGAGTCACGTGCTTGATGCACTTTTCAGCTATGTAGTCGATTTCCTCGATGGTGGTAAACCGTCCGATGCCAAAGCGAATCGAGCTGTGAGCCAGATCTTCGTCGGCACCAATCGCACGCAGCACATACGACGGTTCCAGCGAAGCCGAAGTGCAAGCCGACCCACTCGAGAGGGCAACGTCTTTCAGCGCCATCAACAGCGATTCACCCTCAACGTATGCAAACGACAGATTGATACATCCGGGATAAGAATGAACTGGATCGCCATTGCGGATGACTTTCGGTAGCGATGCGAAGATTTGGTCCATCAGGCGTTTCGAGAGGAACTCCATCCATTTGTGATCGTACTCCATTTCACGGCTAGCGATTTCACAGGCTTCCCCCAATCCAACGACCAGTGGAGTCGGAACGGTTCCACTTCGAATGCCACGCTCCTGGCCACCTCCGCTCTGAATGGCTTCCACACGAACTCGAGGACGAATGCGAGTTGAATGCGAGAGGCTCCCAAACATACAAACTTTGCTCTTTCATTATCACGACGTTCTTATGCATAATCTAGTGTGACGTAACGTTGGATCATGCGTAAGAATACCGTGAGAACGAAGGAGTCGACTACATTCTTTCTGCCGCACCTATAGTACCGCACACGGTTCCCGCGCTGACTGTTCCTTACTTTCTCACTCTAATCAAAATTTCCTTCGATGAGTGAGAAAACAGCACCCCGTCAACGCGAGTGAGAACGCGAGTTGCCAGATCATTGCACACAAAACCAACTTGAATTAATTCAAATCAAAAATACTAGCGAACCTGGCGGTGAGCGGCGGAAAGTGGTCTAAAATTCTATTACAGAGAACCACCTTATTTTAATTAATTTCTTCGGAGAAAGTCGTCTGTAACTTCGTTTGTGTTAACTCTCCAGTCTGGACAGCGTTTTAGATGTATGATTCGTCAAGTTTATACAACTCAACGGTTGGTTGGTTGTCTTTATTAAGGAGATTTTCAGCCAGACGCTGGTTCATCTCCGATACAACTCAATGTTTCAATTGAGGTAAACTATGTATCTTATAATTACAAAAGCAAACTTAAAATTACAATTATATGCAAATGCAAAATAAAACTTGACAAATCATCGTCAATCCCCTTGGGCAGGGCCTGACGATATGAATCTGATTTTGATCAGTGACCGAGTACCATATCTAGAGCTGGAATTAGGGCGTAACAGCTTTTGTAAACAATGACTTCTCTTGATGATTTCTCGGAAGCCATAGCTCTCCCTGGCAAATCGACATCACCCTCTAGTAGAGGAAGACTTCTCCTACCCGATGAATATGATAGTTTGTGTAGGCGTGCCTTGAATTCCGAGAAATCAACGAAAGAAATCATTGTTCACAAAGGCTGTTACGCCCTAATTCCAGCTCTATCTAGAATATGATACATTACCTCACTATGAACCTATCATTTCTAGCCTATCTGAACTATTTAATGAATGGAAACCATAACCTGGGTTACGCTCCCCCTAAGCGGGCCCTCCGCATCCTATCTCTGTCTTATCTCAAATACCAAATGCCAATGATTTGCATGTATCAATAAATAAATTGGAAATTCCGTTCAATCAAATAAACCCATACCCCTCTCACTTGGCCAGGCTTCAGAATAGTCCAGTGGGCAGTGCACTCTACACTCCAAGTTCCCTTTCTTTCAAATTCACCCCAAATTTGATATTTTACTCCTTTGAGTGTTGATTAATCACAATGAAACATTGTGACAGAGCCCTGACTTGAGGTTACTAGAGTATTAAATAATCTAGGTCCTATTTAGTAGACCTGTGCGCCGCCGCGCCACGCCGCCGCCGCCGACGATTTTCATACGCCGCCGCCGCCGGTGAAATTTAGTCGGCGCGCCGCCGCAGCAAAATCTTTCACGCCGCCGAATAAATTGATGTCACGCCGATGAAAAATCTGTAGCAGCTTTTCGGTAAAATGCATCTTGAACGCGTTGAAATTAGATCTTGTGTGTGGTGCAGCGATTGTAATTTAGTTTTTTGACATTTGTTCGCACTTTTTCGATCTAGCACAGGGGAATGAATCATTCGGATCGGATTTACACCCAAGTAACAATCTAAATGCTTGGAAAATTTATTATTATTTTATCATTATTTTACCCTTGCAGCCTGTGGTAGCTCATACTTTTAACAGTAGCTGTAAGGTGGTTCTGTATCACTACTTATAATTGAAGTATAAAACCAGAACAAAACATGCAATTATGTGTTATGGCATACTTTTTAGGACCTTGAAGCACTCTTATACTTTCATTAAAGCCTCATTACAACTATCATCTATATCAGAGGCTCAAGATTCATAGATAAGAAAAATTCTAAAACAAAAATAAAAAATACTCTGAAAAATTTTACCAATAAAAAAAAAACGTCGAAAATGAGTGCGTGAAAATTTAATAAATCGAGTGCCTTCAGTGTTTTTGAACACGATGAAGATGAGACGATCGCCAATATGAAACTCCTACAGCATTACAGCTATGGGCTTCCTCATTTAACATAAGGCACAGTGCGGTGAAGGAGCTCTCAAATATATTGAACAAGCGGCTTTCCGATACACTTCCGAAAGATCCACGAACCCTTTTTAAAACTACGCATACAGTTTCACTAAATCCGATTAGAGATGGACAGTATTGGCATCACGGCTTTAAACTTTGTATTGTAAAAACTTTTAGTGGAGCCCATGAGCATTTTTTGTATATTGATTACAAGAGAAATAGGAGGATCGCTTGGAATGTTGACTTTTTGATAGGTTGCCAAGGTTTTTGTTTTGCTTTTATTCGCTGTAACCTAATAAAACCAGCAAACTAGCTATAGAGCTAACATATAACTTAACGCTCTCAAGTTGGACTAGGAAATGCTAAGATACAACCATTAGGTTTATGTTATGCTTTAGAATTCCAATCTAGGCAAATATGTTATATTGAGGCATTTTTTAGAAGTAGCAAGTTATAACGAAACAAATGTCGCTGTATGAGAAAATTTCACACAATATGATTAATTACGCTTTAATTAATAGGCGATAGCACACTTACATACATCTATGTATAATTAAATAATATGTAACTGGTTATTGTTCAACAGTAATAACAGTTTTGAACTAAATAGATAAACTTTTAATTATTCATTCATTCATGGTGCTAAAATAGACAAAATAAAAATATTCTTATATTTTAGGATTAATATGGGGCACTGAATTTGTGCACCTATTTGGTATAATAATCATCATAAATATTGAACGACATGCTTTGAAGCATATATTGGTTCAAAATTGTAATAAAGTCGTCTTGTTTTCAATATACAACAATATCAACATTGTTACAAACTGTCATTGATCATGATTTCACATCAAACATCGAAAGAATAAAACCAAAATAAAATATTTCTCAATATTAACTATCATCCAAATAAATCCAACTTAAAACCTTAAAGGTTGTCAACATGTTTTGCGTATCATGTTTTATCAACTTCTTCAGTAACGATTTATGCGGTTGTAACATAGTTGTGTGGTAGTCATCAAAAGGTAGTTAAAACTTTCTGACCAGGAGGAGGTTTTATGCTTTCATTTTTAACAACCACGGGTAGAGTGTGATAAAACTGTCATAAAACTTATGCTCCTAAGGTGGTTCGCATATCAAGTTTTAATCTGGGCCAATTGGTCATGACATAGTTTTATACGAGGGGGGTGACACATCTAAATCTCAAGTCTAGATGCTCAACAAATCTCCCACTAGCGAATCAATCTTCGAAAAATCTTCTTTCATTTCTCGCATCTACTTGCTTGGCGCATCATCTTTTTGCAGGTAATCTTCAAAATCGTCGTCAATCTTCTTTCTATCTACTCAGCGTGCACACAATTAGCCTCAGCAAAACACAATCTTTCCTGCATCGTAGATAGAGTCGGCCCCCTCGGTTTTATAGCGGTTAAGAAGGGGATGTTAAAGCAATGTGGTCGTCAGTGAAGGTTTAATAATTTGGTCATATGAACTGCTATAAAGCTTCAATAAAACAAACAATTGTTGCTTCGACATAAAGGGGAATAAGTGACTATTATTAACAATACGTTGATACTAGAGCTTTTTTTATTTAATCTCTTACAGGTCTAAGTTGTGCGGGATTCTACGTACACCCGAAATACATCATCTTCAAATAAACAAACAAAAAGTTATAAGACTACAATGCGTGTACATTCAAAATAAACACAACATTTAAACCACCGACAAATAGTCATAACACTGGCAATTTGTTCATCGAACATGCATTTAACAGTCAATTTAAATGTTTTTAGTTGGTAGTACCGCCACCTGTGGCGCGCATAGTCAATAACCCTTGCATTTGACGTTTACACACTATCGCCATTTGTTCAGCGTACTATTCATCACAGTTTACTCAACAGATGGCGGTAGTGTTTTAACGACGAAGTTTTATATTGAAAAATATTCAATGTGTTATGTCTGTTTGTTTATTTTTAAACTTTTCTTAAACTTAATATAAGGGTTGTAACACTTTGCCATCCGAATCCACCAACAAGCACTTGAGATACTTTTCTAAACAAATTCTGCATGCACGGCCAATGAGAACGACTCAAAATTGAGTAAGAGTTACTTATATTTGAGTTCAGGTTACTCAAATTCGCGAAAACGTAGATTACTCATATAATGAGTATATTTTCCGACGCTTTTTCAAGGGGTTCAGGGGTCGACGGAAAACAGCAGAGATGCTCAAAGCTGACCCCCATGCTAGCCGCACAAATGTTGCATCAACTATTCTGTAATATCTGGAACACCGCGACTTTTCCGGCCGACTTGATGCAAGTAAGATGCCTGAAGGTTCCAAAGAAGGGGGATCTGACTGTGTGCGACAATTGGCGAGGCATCATGTTACTGTGTATTGTTCTCAAAGTTCTGTGCAAAGTTATCCTGAATCGGATACAGGAGAAAATCGACGCGACTCTCCGACGGCAGCAGGCAGGATTCCGTGCCGGAAGATCTTATGTGGACCATATTGTCACGCTCCGCATCATTATGGAGCAGGTCAATGAATTCCAAGAGTCCCTTTATTTGGTTTTCATTGACTATGAAAAAGCTTTCGACCGTCTCAATCACGAGAATCTGTGGGGCGCCCTGAGTCGCAAGGGAGTCCCGGATAAAATCGTCAACCTCATCGAAGCGCAGTATGAGGCTTTCACGTGCAGAGTTCTGCATAACGGAGCCTTGTCCAACCCTATCCGTGTAGTCGCTGGTGTGAGACAAGGATGTATACTAGAGTGATGCAAAATTTGAAATTTTCACTCCACAATACTTAAACGATTCCAAATCGGATCCTGACTAACCTCTCAAAATTTGAACCCATTTGGTGAGAAACTGAGATGGCACAAACCATTTGAAGTTTGTATGGGAATTACTATAGTAAAACCAAGATTTTTGTTCATGTCTATCTAATAATTCACCATATCGGTCTGCATCAAAATTTGTCAATTGTGCTTGTAGGAAATTTTCCCAGCTACAACTTTGCTGAAGATCACTTTTTGATTGAATGCAAGGATCGAAAGTTATCAATGGTGCAATGCGCTGATGTCTTATGATCATGCTCAATCAACTGCTCAGCAGGCAACATTGGTGTTTCTGAAGCGTTGAATAGGACACAAAAATCATGGCTACTATGTCACACTGCAAAATACAGTGTTGCCTACAGAGCAGCTGCTTGATCATGTCGTAAGTTTACCAATCTCTTAAATAATTAATAACATTTTCCTGTCTCGTTTTACCTAGAAACAATCTTGAGCAAAGTTGTAGCTGAGAAAATTTTCTATAAGAATGGCTATCGAACTGTTTTGCAGCTCAATATGGAAAAAGAATAGAAGGCAATGAACAAAAAGTTGAGATTTCCCATAGTAATTTACATGTAAACTTCAAATGGCTTGTGCGAAGTCTGTTTCTAACCAAATGAGTTGTAACTTTGGGAGGCTAATCAGAACCCGTTTTGAAACCATTTAAGCACTGTGGAGCGAAAAAGTCAAAATTTGCATCAGTCTAATGTATACTATCACCGCTACTGTTTCTCATCGTAATCGACGAGATCATGGTAGGTGCAATTGACCGTGTACCGTGAACCGTGGGCTGCTTTGGCAAGCCTATCACCATGGAGCATCTCAACGACTTCGATTTGGCTGATGATGTTGCACGAATGCTGCACGAATCAAGAGGGCTAGGGCTGCCTTTGCGAGTTTACGAAACGTATGGAGATCCAACCAGATAAGTCAACGCACCAAAATCCGAATTTTCAACTCAAACGTGAAATCTGTGTTGTTATACGCCAGCGAGACGTGGTGTGTATCAGCGGAGAACACTCAAAAGCTGCAGGTCTTCATCAACCGATGCCTGCGGTATATAGTTCGTGCCTGGTGGCCTCACAACTGGATCTCGAATGCCGAGCTCCATCGTCAATGTCATCAGAAGCCGATAGCAACAGAAATTTGAGAGCGAAAGTGGAGGTGGGTCGGCCACACACTTCGACGGGGCGGAAACGAAATCTGCAAGCAAGCGCTGGATTGGAATCCGGCAGGACATCGCAGCAGAGGCAGACCCAGGGGCTCATGGCGGCGGAGCCTCAATAAGAAAATTAAGCAAGTCGATAGGAATCTGACCTGGGCCCAGGTCAAGGTAAAAGCGAGCAGCCGCCCAGGATCGAAGTCTTTCACGTTGGCCCTTTGCACCCCACATTCGAGAAGCTTTCCCCGGGAAAGTGTCGGAAAATTTACTCCAACTATGAGTGACCTACGTTTTAGCGATTTTGAATAATCTGAACTTAAATGTGGGTAGCATTTTTGTCCATGTGCGTTTGGTTTGGAAAGTATTTTTTTTTTCTAAAGCATTAAAAATAAACACACGCCGACCCACGCCGCCACGCCGCCGCCGCCGAAAGCAAACGGCGTGACGCCGCCACGCCGCCGCCGCCGGCAGAAAATAACATATCACGCCGCCGCCGAAGATATTTTGATCGGCGCACAGGTCTACTATTTAGGATTATATCTGAAAAATCCTAATCTGGCCAACGCCCATTGCATTTTTAAGAGGCAGATTCGACATGAAATTTTGAAATAAACATCTTTGATGTGACTTAATTTTGAATTATTATCAACATGAATTCTAAACGTGCATCACGGTGTACTAACTCCTAAATATCCACATTATGGGATATATAGAAAGCACAATCGTTATGGTGGCACACTTGCCCTCCATGATTGCACGGACTAACGAACAGTACAGCGCAGCCCGCAGGCATAGCGGATTGCGAAAGTATCAGCAACAAATTCGTTGAAAACCAATTTTTTTAAAGGAGAGGCTTAATTATCATATCACGCATTTAGGAGAAGTTCAGGAAAACTCTTCTCCCCCTTTCGTCACGTTTTTCTCGATGTACCTAATGCATTGCTTGTCACAAATTTCTCCAATCCAACTTTCCCCGTAGAGCGCGTTGTACTTAATAGATCGTCCCACACCAACCGGAGCTTTTTTTACAGCAGTGATTGTGATGTTATCACTTAGATGAAAACAACAATGTCGGTGTTTTAAATACGTTTTGCACTATTTTTTGTTTGTTTTATTAGTTATAATGTTACCATTATTCACACTAAAATTAAGTTTAATAATATTTGTTTCCGTCAATATCCGCATTAAGACATTGACCAAATCATTCACTGTGTTTTCTTCCAGTAGTATGTTCATTCATGGAGTTTTGCACCTCTCTCTAGCAAGGTTCTGTTTTGGTCTGGTTACCAGCCGCTTTGCCAGTATACACAGGCCTACAACAGTTGCAGCGATAGAAAGGTTTCAGAAATGCGTTCGGTCACAATCCTTCCAACAAGCTTCCTGCACACGCCTTGAATGAACTTCCAATGAACAGTTGTGATTCTTTTGATCCATAGCTAGCTTCAACCATGTGTGTGTGTTTGTGTTTGTAGGGTGTCTATTTTTGAAGCAATTGGATCATATAAAATACAAAAAGAAAGAAAAAGAGCTTGTAGAGCTTTTATACTATCCAAAACACGAAGAAAGTGTAGTTTATATGGAAAGAAAAAACAAACGAACAAAAAAGAACTAACTTCTACCATTTAGCGCACTACGTTGCTGCCACCTCTCATAAAAATTGGACATAAACATTTAAAATTCATTGACATCATGCATATTTAGGAAATTCCATCCAACACAGTTAGAAGTACTGAAAACATTTCCTTTTTCTTCATAGATTTGTTTTTACTCCAGTTGACAGCGACGTTTTTCCATGGGTAAGTGCGAAAATTTCCACTATATCATTACATTTTATAATTTTTCAAGATGCAAAAAGACAAACTTTCTTATATTGATAAGATTACGGTATAGTTTTATAATATGATCATATTCCATTCAAATTCATCGTGGTGCTGCGGGAGAGGGGGAAACGCACACATTGTCATCAGTGCTTATACATTTCGTAGTCTCAAAAATGTTACCAATACGCACCACCGACGATATTTTTCAATATTTTGTTTTATGTTGTGATCTTGTCAAAATGGTTAAAGTTTACTAATACAATGAATTTTTGTTATTTATGTCAAACATTTCCATTGATTTTTTTTTCTCATTTAAATATGCGTTTGTGAATTACAATTTTCTTTCAATAAGTTGTAATGTAATGCGATTAAATAAAATCAAATCTTAAATGTAATTACAATCATAAAACTACCAATGTTGTGGAAATACAATACGTTTTGTTGTATATTTTATAATCTTCATACACATCAAATCAAGATCGTCTAAAATCCATTAAATCGTAAAAGTAAGAATATTTTGTTTCATCATTGAAAATGTAGTTATCATCAAGTTGTATGCAAATTGCCTCTTCCTCCTAAATATGATTTTCCATACGGTCACACAATGTAGTTAAATAATTTTTCTGCTCGCTGGAAAAAGTCGGGGAAAGCGATTCTCCACGAAATCACCATTCGTGTCAAATCGTATTCGAAACAGATCGCTTGCTTTCATGACAAGCAGTCCCCGTCATTGTTCTATTTGTTTGCTGGTGAGACCTTTCTAGAAGCGTCTGTTCGGATTTCCACCAGCCTGACGATTTTGGTTTGGGTTGCGGTTCTGTTGCTGCTGGTTAGTGCCGTCGAATCGCTTTGGATTGCCAACACCTCCAAAGTTAGCTCCGGTGTTGTTACGGTTTTGGTTCTGATTACCGAAATTGTTGCGGCCACCGGTGTTGTTTTGGTTGCCTCCAAAATTGTTGCGGTTGCCAGAGTTGTTTCCGAAACTGTTCGATCCACCATAGCTACGTCCGCTAAATCCATTGGCAAGATTTAAACCGGACAGTGGCGAATCTGAGTTGTTGAATGGATTGTTGTTTCCGCTGGCTAGGCCTTCGCCTAAGTTCTTACCGGAGATAAACGCCAAACGTAGGAGATCCTGAATAACCTGAGGGTTGCTGAAGTCGTTTCCATTGTTAAAGTCGTTGCGATTACCAAAGTCTAAAGGTAATAATAAATATAATAGTTCATTTGGATCTAGATTCAGTGGTTCACTGTCATGGTTTTTGTAAATATACTTACTCGGATCTGGTCCGTTGAAACGGCCACGCTTCAGTGGTGGCGGTCCACTGAATCTGGTTGACTGTACATTCTCCAGAACAGCTGGATTCTTATCAATGATTTCTTGCATAGCCAGGGAAATCTTTTCGTCGTTTTCCTTGAAAATTTTACGGTTGACCTTCGTTGTCAAGGGTTCGATGCCACAGCGAACGGGCTTTTCGCTATCGGGGAGCTGAAGAACCTTGTCGCAAACTTCCTTGTCGCGGAATTCGATGAGGGCGGTGTTGCGGTTGCGTTTGACAACACATTCGATGAAGCCAAACTTACGGAACTTTTCGAACAATTTCTCTTCGGTGACTCCTACGTTTTATGGTAGACAATCATTCAACCATTGGAAAGCTTTAACTACATAAGTGCTACGGACTTACCAATTGTCAACCGAACCAAGCGAACTGATGTCTCCGGATTGAAGTAGGTATCCTTGCGTCCAGGAAACACGTGAAGACAACGATTCTGGAAGTGTTTTCCGTTGAAAGCTTTGATGGCATCGGTAGCTTGCTCCCGACGTGCGTAGTAAATTAATGCAGCCATCACCATCGAAGTTTGACTGGTCTTGTAGGCTGGAATATTTGGCGAAAAAATGAATTTGATGTGTCCACCAACGCTGGAGAAGTAATCCCGCATGTCACGTTTGTCGGCGGTGTATGGAAGATTTGAAACGTAGATGGGCCACAACTTAGCCAGCGGTAGTGGCGGTGGCCGCATTTTGGATTCCTCTCCATCTTCCAAAAGCTTCTTTACGTGCGATGGCTTAAGATCGATGACTGAGGAATAAAATATGAAAACATAAGTTTTAATTTCCATAATCAACTAAATGTTTCGAATACTCACTCAAAGGACCATTGTATTTCTTGACTGTGATGCTTCTATCTTCTGTCTTGTCGCTGTCCGCTTTAGGAACCGGGAGTGTTTTACACTCCAATGCCTTCTCTACTGAGTCGGCATTTTCGAAGCAAATGACTGCATGCTCATCAGCGCACTTACGGCGGCTAACAAATTCAATTTCACCAAACTGTTTGAAATGATCGTATATACATTCCTCGGAAGTAGCTGCAAAATTATTGATTAAAAAACTGTATTAGTATAACCCTTGAAGAGTAGACGAAACCCCCCTCTCCTCCCTGACCGGAATTGTAGATTGTATTCTACTTACCTTTTTCTAAGGATGTGAGGTACACGCTTGTTTGATAGTTTGGAATAAGAGCAGCAGTCACGTGAAGAGCATGGATACGCTTGCCTTCGAATACTTTCTGGTTGAGTTCCAAAGCAGCCTTTCTGGCCGTTTCTTCATTTTCATAGAAAAGTTGAGCGACGGCACCGTGGCTGTTATTGATTACCTTCACCTCGGTCAATGTTCCAGTTTCCGATACAGCCTTCTTCAGTTCTTCCTGATTGGAAACCCAACTTTCGGGCAAATTGATCAATGACACACGGTTCAAGTTACGGAAGAACAGCTTAGCGGCACGCCAGATTTCAATGTGATGGTCTGATTAGATAATTAAAATTATTAGCAACATTCCGTCATACTTAACACTTTACTTTGAAACATACTCTGATCATGTCCGGTGACATCGTAGATTGTAACTTCTTCAGTGTTGAGCTCCTTGATGGCAGCTTCTTTTTGTTCCTGTGTCTTACAGGAAACATATGCCAACGGATGGAACACCAAAACACCGGTGATTTCGGTGACATCTTTATACTTGTCGTAGACCTGCTCTTCGGTCGTATTGTCATCGACGACAGTGACGAAAACGTTCTTCTTAATATTCCAAATGGCAATGTATTCGATGTGCATACGCAAGCGACGATTACGGAACATGGAGCCATCTTTGGCTTTGAGGGCCTTCGTAGCCGTATCCTTGTCTTTGAATAACAACAATGCCAGTGTGTACTTTAGGTAGTGGAAAATCTCAACGTTCTCCACAGTGAAGTCCTTGAAGTGATCGCGTAGTTCATCTTCGGTCACATCGGCTGGCAAATTGCCAAGGTTTAATTTTTTGCCGTTGTCTGCAAAGAGTAATTACAATCTGCATTCGGGTAAAAAATACTATGTCGTGTTGGTAATCGATATCCCCCCCATCAGCTACTTAAAAAATCAAAATTATCGGTGTAAATGCACATTTTTTTAAAGTCAACTTTCACAAATTGATGCCTCCTTTGGTCGAGCTTCAGCATTCCATGATTCTGATGTTGAAAACAAAGGAACTTCAAAGGCATGATTACTCGGCCACATTTGATAATGTTCCTCGTGTCCTAGGAAAAATGGTACGTTACTGTAATTCATACCAACATCGATCCAGTTTTATAGAGTGCTCAAGACGATAGTGCCAAATCCAGAAATGTTGCAGATGTCCTAAGAGACATGAACAAAATTAGACTAGCAGCAATGCGTTAGATCAAAATAAGCTCAATAACTTGCAATTATGTTTTACGTCTTACACAACTGCATACACATCCGGAATTGTTTCGGCGCCCTTGGGACATGGCCAAAACCTTATCACGAACCAGAACCTTTCACGCGGCATATCAGATTTCACGAATATGGAGTCGTAAGCGATTTTTCGAAATCACTGGTCAGAAAATATATATTCAGGATTCCTATTAAAATTATGGTTGAACAAACTAAAAGTTTTTTTTTTCTATAATTCGATGATCACTTCAACATCGAGATATAGAGAATTGACGGTATATTGTATATTATACACTGAACAAATTTTACATAAGATAACTTATCCAATCATCTGATGATGATGATGGTCCCACCTCTTACCCCTACAAAGGTTTGAGCTGGACGATTTATCTTTAAGGGGGTATTCCCAATCTTTTGCCTTTTTTCGGCCTGTTTTTCAATTAATTTTTTTTCAAGGAAAATGAATAGTAATGCGCCTAACTCTTTGGGATTCTTGTTTATTGAACATTAAAGTTTACAAATAAATTTTTTTCGACATAAAAAAAGACATTATTGACGTCACAAAATGGTGGCAAACAGACCCCTGTTCGCCGCAAACGCCTGGACGGGCGAAGACTTTTCTCTGGAACGGCTTCATCTGAAACAGATTTCGTGATGAAATTATAATCTGCATAAGATTCTCTGGAGCTTCTCCCGTTGGCAGCAAAAAATCTTGCAAATTAACAAAATGGCGGCCATATGAAAAAACAGGCGATTTTTAGCCCGCTTTTTTGCAGCTTTAAGGTGCTTCAAACAATGTTAAATGTTAATATTTTTGGCTGAAAGTGGGAGAAGCTCCAAAGAATTTAATAAGGAACAAAATGCGCAAAGATTCAAGTCAATATCTCTTATAGTTTCTGAGAAAAATCTTCGCCCGATAAAAAAAATGTGGTTTCGAGAAAAACGCGTTTAAAGTTTTGACTTTAGTTAAAACCATTTGGGGGTTCTTACCATTAGTCAGCTATGCCTGGACACCGAATTCGCTGATCGGAAAACGGCTTGGGGGGATGAAAGTATATAGTCTAAAGTACAAAAAAACGTGAAAAAAAAAAATTTGATTTTTTGAAAAAAAAAAAGATCGGGAATACCCCCTTAAGATAATTAAGTATGATATCTTTAAACAGATTTGCAAATAAAAACGAATTGGTTACAGTTAAAGATATAAATTTCATCTACAGTTTACAGTTGCTTCACAGCGAGATAAATGTGGAAAAGCTTCGACGTTCAGTTCTTCGTTCACTTCACATTCACTGTTTGTATTTCCAGCGATCAAGAGTTCATGAATATTTAACAAAGCATCCTTTTACACTAGCAACCAAGCAATTTGATGCTATCATAATGTCAGAACTGGAACCGGTTAGGACTAAGACAATATTGACTTAGTGACCAACATAGCAAAAAAGTGACTTGCGGATAAAGACAAAAAAAAAGGAGTAGTAGTCATTTATCCCTGCTTAAATCAAATTGATGTCCTCTTCAATGTAGGTTTATTTTAGTAACCAAAAGGTGGCCGAATTGCTGTAACTGCATACGTTTTATATGAATCAAGAATGAACTTAAATTGCATGTGCATTTGCCAAGTATCCGAGGCACATGAAATTGAACTTTTCCGATTTGGACCAAATTTGGAGGAAATGGTCTAACTTTTATAAATCCAAATTTTAGAGCTGATCGAAGCACCCCTTGGTTCTATTTTTCGTGATTTTTAAGCAAGCACTCCCTTCATTTATCAATATCTTCGGAACAAATAAAGCTACAATTGAAGTTTTAGTGTGTTTGTTTTTTTTGAGAAAATTAGACAAAGAATCTAAATATTAATTGTTGTACAGTGTTGCCAAAAAATTATATTTGCGTTTAAAAACTAAAAATCAAATTTCTCAGAATGAGTACATATATTTCGATTTCCAATTTGACAGCACCATCTGTTTATCGTCTTTTTTTTACATGAGAAACACTTATCAGTAAAAAGTAATTTACCTATTTGCGTAAAGAATGCTTCGCCCGCTTTTATGTAAAATAATCCACTTTGCTTTTACTATTATTAATTATTTTTGCAATTCCGTATCATAATACCTATTTTTTGTTATGCTTAACTAAAACACTTTTTGAGAATTGCCTTGCCATCCATACAAAACATTGGATTCATCGATATCAATTATTCATGCTATTTCAGCTCTTCGTAGATTAATAAAAAAATATAAAAATACAAACATTAAAATAATTAACCTTCTACAATGTAGTAGTCTGCAACAATAATACATAACATTATATACATCTAATTATTCTACATGTTATTTTCTCATCATGCATGACATCATTTAGATGAGATTGGATTTCCATTTTATGTTTAGTCCTGTTAGTTATACATCATACTTTTTTTTCATTCTTGAAAAATAGCAAGTATCATTCGAGTTAAAAATATTTATTTGCATAATATAACCTTGAAATTTCAGTGTTTAAATCAACCTTATATTGGGAGCTCAGGAGACATAGAGTTGCATCTTATTTCATGTAAAATATTTATTATTTCCATTGCAGAATATCAACTTATTTATCCATATAAATTTATTTTCATTATTTCATGTTTAATGTTTTGATATATTTCATTTCTCAATTACATAAATAAATACTGGGTTAAGAGGGAGCATCAGGGTATTGACCCTTCATACAGCGATATTGAATTCAGATCGGTAGCTCAAATTGATCTTGCTATTAAGTGGAGCTGCATACAAGACAAGATCTTCGAAAGGATGGTGGCTACCTTATATACATACATACTTTTTGAGTATTGCCTGTCAAATACGAACAATCGTCGACTACCTCGCATAACTGGTTCCAAACGATAACAAAGCCGTTAGCATGGTACGATGGTTTGTTGATATTTGGAACCAAATTCACATTTTCCATAAATCAATGAGCATAAACAGGTGAGGCTTAGTAAGTTTATCGTCTCTTTCGTTGTCCGGTTGATTAAATGGATGACGGAGTTTGACGTTACACTCCTTCAACCGTTTAAACAGTGGAAGAACGAAAGAGGTGACAAACTCAATGAGCCTTACACATTAACATCTCATTGATGGATTTTCAGTCGGCTGATTTGACTGCACATCCCGCCCCTGCTGCAGATGGCTTGGTTGCAAAGTTAATTTTTTTAAAGTGTCATCTAGCAGATCAATACTTATAAAAAATCAGTATCACTGAAACCCTCAGCAAACAAAGTATCAATTAGGTGCGAAAAGTTTCAAAATATTCTATCGGGAGTATTTTTTCCATACCTTTTTTGGGCTGAAATAGGCTTAAAAATTATTTCATAGACGTTATTTACACAAAACAATACGAAAAATAAATAAAATCGTTCTAGACATAGATAGCTGTCGTTTGGTGGTTGTTTCAACGAGTGATTTTTTTTTGATAATGTTTTCTTTCAGAGACACCGTGACACAGTTGAAGTATCTTTATAAAATAACAATATTTTGCCAGCATTGAGAAATATTGCAAAGAAAATGCTAGCTCTATTTCACATGCGCGTTCCATGACTACCTACATACAAAAAGGATATCCTACCTAAGCACCTAGCGGCACTTAAAGACACCGCCAATTCAGTCTGCACATTTATGAGGATGTCAGTCAACGAAAGCCGAAAAAAATACCATCCGTTTTGAACGACGACGCACTACGTATGTATATACGAAATGAGCATAAATAACAAATAGAAAAGTTTTCATAGGGGTGGTGCACAGAAAAGTTTCCTCTCGTTTCTTCCTTCCGTGGCGTTTGAAACTGCATACAATGCGAGACACTTTTTATCCTGTTCAGTTCTTCCCGGTAAACGCGCATCATTGTGGCCAATGTTACCAAATAATATTGAGCATTATTAAGAATATACTGGACTATTCCCACTAAACAAACACGAAAATTCTAATAGATAACAGTTATGAACCATTTTTACCGGGCGATTTAGTTTTTCAAACCCATCTCGGCTCGGGTGGCGAAGGCTTGAAAATTTTTCATAATGGCGTTCCTGGTTCTATACTCTCATTGTGATCAAGATCAGACAGAAGAAGCTTCACTCACCTGCGGCTTTGTTCACCGTATTCTCAGTTGTAGCCATTTTTCCTTAATAAAACGTTGCAATATCAGAGGAAAATTATTCGCTTCAAGAAGAACAAACACTATTCTTCAATTTTTCACTATTTTTCAGTGAGACGCTTCACTAAAAACCTACAATATTTAGTAAAACAAGAACGTGAAAAAACGATGTGTACGCGGTTTTTGACACCTAGCCCCGGCATAACTCTCGCTTGTCGCTCTCGGATTTGGACTCCGACAAATATAAGCGTTACGCATGCGATGCCTTCAGGGGTGGGGAATAAATCTCACAAAACTGAAAACTGCTTACATCTCTCAAAACGAATATACAATATTTCCCCGCTAATCCGTCTGTCGTTAATTCAACGTCTCCGTTGAGGTCTCGGTAATCCAGCCCAGTGGCAGGCGCGCAGGCAACATGTTATACCGTGACAGGGGGCCCAGCACAGCAAAATAAACGATTTGAGCCCGGGACATGCTGCCTACTGTCAAACGCTGCTGTTGGTATGCCTTGTCACTGGCGTGCGGTAATCCGACATCACGGTCTCAGAGCTTTTTTACATTGTTATTGTATTATTATCAACAATCAATACGAAACTAACGATTTTAAATTGGCTCACCACTTTAGTAGCCTATTGGTCCCAAGCAAACGATTAACGTACCCTATTCTAGTTGAAATTCTATTACTACACTATGTTTGTTTTGATTCGCTATGAAAGTTTGACAGATAACATCAGGGGTGTGTGGATTCATGCAGAACATGCAGGGGTGAGTGAAATAGCTTGGGACTGCTTGGGACTGTTGTTCTGGTACTGAGTGAGCCAAAAATAATAATGATTTTCTTCGGGACCCAGTGGTCTTAGAGTTACCTCTATGTTATTATCTAGTTTTCACTGGAAATCCAATGAATGACTGCTCATTGCAAGATAGCCTATATTACATGATATAAGCCGTAGTCTGTACGGGGTATTGTATTACGGTATTTTACGTGTTTTTCTCGATTCTATAACATTCCCCCGAAAACCATTCCCCAGAATGCACCATTTCCCAGAAAAGCATTCCCCAGAATGAACCATTCCCCAGAAAACCATTTCTCAGAAAAGCATGCCATGTATTAGATTGACTATTTTTGTTTATTATATAGTCACTCCTGAAATCTTCTTTCGCGTATATAAAAAGAAGAGAAAAACTTCTTAATGGATCAAGGGGTCTTCCCTTCTTTGAACATATAAGAAAAGGAAATAATTAATTCTTTGGATATACGATAAAGAATGGAATATTTTCTTCTTTGAATATGTAAAAGAGAACATCATTAATAAGTTAAATATATGATAAAGAAGGAAATATTCCCTTCTTGTAATATAAAAGATGAGACATTAATTTGTTAAATATATGATGAAGAAGGGAATATTCCCTTCTTTGGAAATATTACAAAAGGAAATAATTAATTCTTTGGATATACGATAAAGAAGGGAATATTCCCTACTTTTAATATATATAAGAGAAAATAATTAATTAGTTGAATACATATGATAAAGAAGGGAATATTCCCTTCTTTGAAAATATTACAAAAGGAAATAATTAATTCTTTTGAAAAACGATAAAGAAGGGAATATTCCCTTATTTTAATATATAAAAGAGAACATATTGTCGCGCTTATGTTTAATTCTCATTTGGTGACGGTCGAAGCGCGTCGCTCATAAGCGCGCTGCAACCCCGCCCATAAGGATTCTACACAGGTGTGTAACTTAGATAGTATTTTATGGCAGCGGCTTGAGAAGCGAATCTTGGATAAAGAGCCGCCGTGTGTTAAATGAATGGGCGCAGTCGTACGGCGATAAACAAAGCACAGATGGTATAATCCCATTTTGAGAATTTATCCTGCAACACACAATAATTAATTCGTTATATATATATATATGATAAAGAAGGGAATATTCCCTTCCTTTAATATAAAAGGAAATTATATAATCAATAGTTTTTCGCAAGGGATTCGGGGTAATGCCTAGGGTAATGCCCATTCGGGATAATAACGTGTGGAATAATGTTATAAATTTGTTATCGGTAGTTCAACGTTCCATGCACCGATTTTTTAATCCATCATGATAAATCCTTCAACTCAGGTCGAACAATTCTTCGATAGTTTCCGACTGGTTGAATTGGGTTCTTTAAGCGTATTGAGGTAAATGCATAATCGTAATCTGCATTAAAAATGGAACCCAAACCCAAAATTTCATCAATTTTGGTACACTGGAACTATTTTAAATAAGCACGATTACATTTGCAAAAATCACCTTATTAGCGCCCATCGGTGTCACTTTGTATGGGAGCGAGCTGTCAGTTTGTTAGTTTAGCGTCAAACAGTGAAGTTATTATTTTGCTTCAAATCTTGATTTAAAAATCGAGATGAAAGTGTGTGGGTTCGAAAAAAATATTGCTGTGCTCAGAAAACGAAGCTCTTTCAGATGATGTATAAAAAACGATACATTTTTCAAAATTAAAGAACCCAATTGGATTGCATAATTGACCCTTTGACTTTTTAAACGATGAACGAAGTGCTCGAAAACTTGAAGGTAGTCATTTTCTAAAGAGTTATAAAATGGTTTGGAATTCATAAATACATAGTTCCATAAAAGTAAACGTAGTGTATTATCAATAGTAAACAAAAATAAAAGTGAAAATTACTAATGTCATCATCTTTTCTGGGGAATGCTTTTCTGGGGAATGGTACATTCTGAGGAATGCTTTTCTGGGGAATGTTATAGAATCGTTTTTCTCAGTCCGAAATTAGTCCGCCCATTAAATCAGTCACTCAAACTCAAAACTGCAATCAAAATTATCTCGTTTTCGTGGTATGTTTACGTACAACATGCAGTGGAAGAGGAAAAATCAATAGATTTTGCGTGCATGCATTGTGGGTAGGAATGCAGCAAAACGGCAGCGGTACAGCGGTTAGCGCAATTTTAGTACATTGCGCGTTTGCCACTGTACCGCTATGCAAGGTTGCAAATACTCATTTCAGCTAAAACAATGTTTTTTTTTAATTATGAAATAATTAGATACGATGACCGTATTTTGAATTGGTAGGATACAAGAAGAGGTTACAAAGAATGTGTTTGACATAGGGTAGAGAACTACTTCGGCCTAATCACCCATTTTGGGCCTATCGAGCAGAAAATTTCAAATAAATCCTTGATTTCAGAGTTAACAAGTCAATTATGCGTTTGGTACGATACTTTAGTTAATAAGCTACCGAACGAAGTCAATGAGAACACGTGGTATGAAGGTTTGCACCCATAATTCCCAAAAACAAAAGAAGCGCTCCGACCGAATCAATTTTTATCTTCATCCGATAGGCCGAAGTGAATTCATTGGCGTTTTAATGCGTTAGGCCGAGTTAAGAAATAGGCCGAGTTTGGCGTCAAGAAGCAGTGTTAGACTTTTGACAATATCTCAACGATTGGTTTCTTTTTATTAAACCTTATGGAAAGGTAAATAAATTTGGAAGCCATGAGTAATAATAACATTCCGTTTGGTGCTAAACTGCGCTAGATTAAGAACGACTAAGTGCGGGTTGTGCTTAATAGGCCGTAAATGGGGTAGTTAACCCTATTAAACCTATTTATTTCACTTAATGAGAGTCACAATCAGCGATTTTGCACACACTCACTAACTCACTCACTCAGCGATCAGCAAATCGCTGATTGTGACTCATAGAAAGCAAAATTTACAGGTTTTATGTTTCAAACGCATACTTTGTAACCACTTCTTGTAAGTTACAAGTAAAACATGCCATCATACCATCTTTTGGTTTTATTATTCCGAAAAACATTATTTTAGCTGAAATGAGTATTTGCAACCTTGCCGCTATGTCGCTACCCGGATAAAAATAAACCATTGCTTTTTTTGTATAACCCATTCGTATACTGTAGACTCTATAAGATACAATACGATATATTGTATTTGAATGACAAGACAAAAATTGTCCGTACTGTAACTACCATACATAAACAACATGTTCTCATGTAACAACACAATGAATTGTTTTTCTTATGTTTCAACTTTTCAACAAACGGAACTATAGATTAACAACCAATTTTGCCATTCATTTGTTTTCCATGTCTTTATATCGGAAACCTTACGAAGAGACCTTGAGCATTATTGAAAAGAGCGTATGAATGTCATAATGTTATCTACTTTCTCAATGTAGCTTTTATACAATATTCATTACAACACAGCAAAAAAAGTTATTGAATATTACATCGAAACTGCTGCAACCAGGTCAATCCCTCGGTTGTGTAATATCACATTGTACGATGTACATCGATTTTGCGAACAAAATTACATCCATTGATGTAATACCACAAACGAAGTGACAGACGGAGCGGCTCGAAAACTTTGGTGACTAACCTGCTATTTCAATTTTTCAGTGTACCACATGGCAACACCACTACTACTGGATTGTACCACATGGCAACACTACTACTGGATTGTACTAGCATTTTCACCAAATGTGTCAGAATGTTTTGGTTCTATCTCTTTCACTCTACTCAAAACTGAAATGCATAAAAAAATGACAAAATGATACGCACTCTTTGCACACTGTCAAAGAATCATTGTACACAAAATCCACTTTGTTCAAATCAAAACAAAAAAACTAACCCATCTGGTGGATGATGGCACAAGCTTCCAAGAAAATTCTATTACAGTGAACCACATTATTTTAATGGATTTCTTCGCCAGTAAGTCGTCTGTCACTTCGTTTGTGGTAATACTGTATCTGCTTTTTGCTATTACATCATTATTTCATACATCAGCTTGAATTACGTTGATCGATATTAAATTTTTTTTGCTGTGTACTGAATTCGAACAATAGTCCACATAATTGTTTGCAAACCCCAAGAAAAACTGCATGCATGTAATCAACTGGACAGTTGTTGATTAGACCTGTTCATTTTAAACGAAATGTTCGGAATGTAACGGGTCAACCGGGATTACTGTTCCATCATGTTAATTTGAACTTCTGTGCAAATTTTCAGCAAAATCGGTGATGATTTAGAGGTGCTTCAAGTTAATTTTATGTTAAAAACATTATTTTTTTTAATTTACGGCTTATAATATTTGTATCTCGAGACTGAAAGAACGAAAACTGCTGTAACAACTTTCATTGCAAAGTTTAATGTGTTATCTATAAACTTTGTAACCAAAGGTTGACTATTC